GTTTATACAAAATAATTGCAATTTTAATCACAATCACAATGTCCTCATATTATAAAGCTCTAGTCCAAAAATATTATTGATATACTGTAAGCAGGTACCGCCATATTCTCATGTAATACATTTTATTTATTTCTGTTCTTCTGTTGTCGTTAAGCATATTTTTGGAATAGGCTTATTTAATCAGGGTTTTGTAGCCTTGTCAAGCCACTGAATTTCAGGTACAGTAACATTAATTTTTCAACTTCCTGCAGACACACTTTAAATGTTTCAATAGATGGTTGTAATGTTTATATTATCCCTGCTTGCACCATTTGTAATAATTTTCTTTATCTTGGCTATTTCTTATCATTCAGTAGAGATTAATCTCACCAGTTGATCATGTCTTTCTTGTAGCATTTCACTCCGTCCTGAGCGTCCTCACTTTTTTATTTTCACTTGTCACACTCACACACACAATTATCCCTCATCATGACTTGCATCCAACCCCCATTGTTCACACTTCGCACGCATCTCTAATATTTTCCTCCTTTGTGTGCTCGAGTCCTCTACCATTTGTTCTCAATATTTCATTCCAGTAGTCTCTCCATCTTCTCACTCTTAATCCTCCTCCCTTTTGAAACCACACCATTGTCTCACTTTCGTTCTTTGAGACGCCAAATGAGCTTGACCTCATGTCACAGTCTTTCCCCCTCACATACACACACATACTGATCATCAAGAAATGCCCAAATAAACATTCACAAAGGTCCTTGTCATTAACACAGGTTATAACACACCTTACACACAGAAAGGAAACAAGTGAAATTTGCATATATTGTACGTATACACAAAAAACACACGCACAAGCACACACACACACATATATACAAAAACACACATGCAGGTCCCATAAAGCCAGAATGTGAACAGATGATCTGCTTGGCTGTCAGGGCAAACAGGCTGAGTTCAGAACATTGGCAGCCACAGTAATACCACTACTAATTGCCTTTCTCTGTGTATTCTCTTGGTGTGTGTGTGTGCTGGTGAGGAGAGAGAGAGAGGAGAGAGAGAGAGAGAGAGAGATCCTCACATGCAGGAGTGAGTGGGGTCTTTCACACCCCTCTGTGTGCAGAACTTTTGCGTTGACCTCGAATTGATATCACATACGTGTGTGTGTGTATGTAAAATGTGATACGGCTTAGCAATACATGTGAGGACTGACTTGTGACTGCCCACTTGTCGTGACATTTTAGGACATTTTGAATTGTGAGGACATTTTGACCAATCACAACAGCCAAAACAGCTCATTTTAGTATCACGCCTACATCTACAGTACCATAGTGTGCAAACTGTTGATTGTTTTCAAATTAATATATCCACTATAAAACCATGTGTACTGTAAGTGAGTCAAACCACTTTGGTTTAAAATCTCCATTCCAGTGACATTTAGCATTTACCAGGCCTTTTAAAAGGATACTCCACTCAAAATACCCAAAGAAAGATTTAAAAGGCGACTGCCCTAAGAAGTTGTTGAGGGCGAACAGCAGCTGTGTTCAGCCTGACTTCACTTAGCTACTATGGATTCCACTATAGCCAGATCTTGTAGTCCTATGGGAGATGGACCAGATGCTTGGCATGACATTAAAATAAAAAATAAACTGTTCAAGTCAAATATACATATGGAGTATAAAGAGTTTATGTAAGAGGGAAATTAGAGGAGCAAACTCCACACAGGAAGGCCCCAGTCAAACCTAGTGGGGTCCGAGACTAGGGCCTTCTTACTGTGAGGCAACACACATTTTCAGAGGAACGAAAGGTGTAAACATACTCACTTTGCTATTTTACTTTGCCTATTGAGGAGTGGCAAATTTTAATACAAATGTCGGGGTCAGCTTGACTTCTTCAACCTCACTGACCTGTTAGTCATTACAAGCTGTGCAGCCAAACATTACTCAAACCCACAGAACTTTTTAATTCTAGTCAAGATCCCAACGTTTCCAAGGAGACCAAGTTGTCAGGGTGAATTTAGGGGTAAATGTGCATAAAATTACTCACAAGACATCTAGAATATTTCCATATGATGGAATAGTGCAGTCATCAAAACCGTGGAGTCTTCTGCTTAAATATTTCACCCGGAGTAAACATCATATATCTTCGATGGAGTTTTGGAACAAGCTGATACAGAATGTATATGATGCTGTCAGACAGTGTGGAATAAGATGATTTTTTCAACCTTAAAGCTACTTAACAGTACATTAAAGGAGAAAATTGGGCGAAGATTATGATTTGGTATATAGGGACAAAGTGGAGAGCTCAGATATCCTGAAGGAACACAAAGCAGAACTGCTGCTCTTTTGCATAAAGAGCCAGTTGGTTTGGTTAGGGCATCTGATCAGGATATCTTCTAGACACCTCCCTGTTGACATCCATCTGGGAGGAAACCTTGGAGCAGATTCACGCCAGATGTATAATATATCCTGTCAAGGCTGGGAATGCCTCAGGATCCCCCAGGAGGATCTAGAGGTAGCCAGGGAAAGTACGCCTAAGCTCCTCTACTTACTTTGCTGCCTCTGCTAATAAAAAGTAGATAAGTAGCAGAAAAAAGCTGAAGCTGAGAGAAATTTTTATTAAAATTTACTTGTGATTCTGGTCATTAAGCAGACACATTTAAACAGCTAACGTTGAGTCATGAGCTCGCTTTCTGAAGCCATAACATAATGAAGTTTTAATACATGACGAGGTGTCTGGATATACGTAAATAGTCCTGACTTTTTAACTTAAAAGCATTCTGTATTGAAATAACATTTACAGTGTTTTTACCAAAACTCTCAGTTAGCACTCAGTAGTAATGAATGTCTGTGATTGATGATTGGACAGAAGCGCTATGCCATGTGCTGACCTTTATGTTTGTTGCATATTGTCATTTTGGAAAAGCAGGATGGCTGACTATCATCATCAGTTCTTAACATAAAAAAGCCATGTAGTGGCACAATCATAGTTAATTTTATTTCTGCAATGTCTACAATAAAATAAAATCTGGACTAGGAATATGCGCATAAAGATATGACAAATTCACTTACTTGTTACCCATGTTAAACAGTAAAATTAATGTATAATGCATTCAAATCTGTTTCTCTCTTATGGTGTCCATCAAACAATACTCTTCAGATATGTAAACCATAACCTTCAATTGTTGATATTCTTGCTTGAAACCATAACATTTTTTATCCCTAATACTTAGAAATGTGCCACAAGCTCCTGTGCTGAAGTAATGTGTGTGGAGCAGGCTCCTATCGTAAATTCTCAAATACAGGTCTAAGTAATGGCTGGTATTGAAATATTATGCCGGTCATTACTAAAGCCTCTGTAAAAATTGTTGAGGGCAGGTGGAATTGCATTATAATGACTCACATGGTAAATCCAGCATGATCCATTTCCACAGCAGTAATTCTATCAGTACAGCAGTCCTGTCATACTCACCACTCCTATGCTTCGAGTTTCCTCTTTAAAAAGAAACTGTTTTATTTCAATTAAGTCCAATTCCTTCTACTTCTACCGCCATTCTTTCAATTGTTGTTAAGCTACCATCAATGAAACACTTCTTGCACAGATGTTTCACCTTACAAGCCTTCCAGCTCAAACGCTATAATGCTTCCCTTTCTAGGTAGGCTTTTAATGTGAATCGTCTGCAGTCAAAAGAACAAAAGATCAAAAGAGGAACAGCAAAGTAGAATTTTGAATGAGAACAGTGTTTCAGTTAAAAAGAGGAACTTAGAGCATGATGGAAGTAGTGAAAATGTACATTATATCCATTTTATCTAAACAGGTTAACATGGAGGAAACGGCAAACACCATAAACAGCTACTTAAAATGGAAACAGATCAGAACACAGGGAGGCTTCTCTATAAAATACAAAGTAAATGAACTCAAAAAATAGGAACAAATCTGAATAAATGCTGTCTCTAACATAAGGCTCAACAAGTCCTCCATATTAAACAACAAAATACATTGTCTTTCAAAACTATTACAAATCACTCTTCACACAGTAAATCTGTTTCATGACGTGACAATGCTATGATTAAGGTTTGGAAAATGACTACTTTGTTAAGGCTATGGGACCTTCATTGTCATGGTTACAATGATAAACACGTGGTTAAAAATCAAAGACATGCTTTAAAAGCAAAACAAACATTCGAATTTTGATTTGAGACAGGAAATGAACAGTGGTTTCCCATGTTCAAGTCTGATGTTTTATTGATCCAACCATGCACCCTGACCACCTCTGTAAATTGAACTTTTCACTCTATAATAACGTCACCTGACCTCTTCCTTTGCTCCTCATAATTACTACGGCTGCTACAGGCCTTTGTCACAACAAGTCACTTGAAAAAGTCGTTTCGCGGCTCATAAGACTGACGCTGTTTTCTTTGACGATAGTCTTAAAAGTCTTGTTCTTTCTGTAGTTGAGATAAACTAAACTGGTTACTAAATGATGGTACATCTCTCCCTGATGTGTTATACAAATGTCCTGTACTCTACACCCAGTTTCTCTAGCATTGCACTTCAAGCTGGAACAATCTTAATCTTATTTTCTGTGGAGTGAAAGTGGAGTGGCCTGTTGTGGCCAGCTGTTTTTGGATATTATTTTCCTATTAAATATCTGTAGTGATTGCTATGTCTGTTTTGCCACTCTTTCATAACCCTTGAGACAAATGTAAGGACCAACAGCAACTCAGATTATCCACCACAGTTTCTTTTGTTTTCAGTCAAAAGTCCTCAGAAGCAAGAAGAGAGCAGGCAAACAGTTTTGGGTTGGACCTGCTGGGGGATGACAGTGTTGAAAGATTGTGGGTGGAGAAGTGGGTGGAGTGAGAAGGGCTTATGAGTGCCAAAGCAGTGTAATGGTCTGTGTTTGTCGTCTAAGATGGCCCATGTGTCTCTCTGGCGCAAAGTGTATTCCTGAGCCCTGTTGTTCGTAATCATAATAATAACAGCGAATCATTTGCATTGTTTCTTTGCAGCTCTCACTGTCTCAGCTGGCAGCTACTTCACGTTACCCGACCATCAGCCACTCCAGCTCAGCGTTGCCATGGCAACAGTCGTTTCCTTCTCTGCTCCATCCTTCCCCGTTGGCATCGGCCCACCAGCTGTCACATGTCGTAAGATTTCCACCCCCGTACACTCTCTCTCTCACACACTCTCACA